TACCAGTCTCTGACCAGAAAAAAATGTATTATAGGGCTCACAGGTAACTATAAAGTGACAAACTCTTCCCTAGCGTCTGACTAGAGCAGCTGTTTTGTGTGTTGTGGTTTCAAGACAAGTAACCATAGGTAATCCATTTAGAAGCAATGCTCTGGAATTAGGAAGAAGAGAAGGATAGGATATAAAGTCTAAATGTCCTCCATGTAGGAAGAGGTATCTGCAGAGAAGCCAATGCACAGAAGTCAACCAAAGGAATGTAGGAAGACCTAGCCACACAAACATCATCTAGCAACTTGACCCAACCCTGCCTGCAGCCTATGCTGTATGCTTAACTCCTCTTGTATTAGTTACTTGTCTTGTTGCTGTGGTAAAACATTTGAGAAAAAAACCTAAGGAAGAAGAGGCTTACCATGGATCAGTTTGCTCAGATCCATCACAGCAGTGAGGAGTGGCAGCAGGAGTTAAGGGAAGATGGTCATGCTGCATAACAGCAAGAGAGTGCTGCTGTTCAACTTGCTTTCTCCTTTTTTATTCATCCTAACACCCCAGGTCTTTGAATGGTGCCACCCACCATAAGGGTGGTTCTTTCCACCTAAATTAAGACGATCCAGGAACTCCCTCATAGACATGTCTAGGCTTGTCCCCTAGGTGATACTTGATCTTGTCAAGTTGCTAAGCACTAACTAATCTTAAGAAATCAAAATTCTATAGTAGTATTAGACCTTGCATGCTACAGTACCAACGTGACAAGAAAAGGATGCAGTAGCACAAGTGAATGGTAGTTAAGGCCTAGACTCATGGGTGTTAAAGGTACTGAGAGTAAATTATTATAGAGTGGCCAGCATTAAATAGGATGCGAACTTCATCCCCTACAAGGCTTAATGAATGTCACAGAAGAGGAATTAGAAAGAACATAACAGCTGAAGAACAAGGAGCATGGCCATGAACAAAAAAAGTCTTATGGGCATGATATGGTCATGACACTCATGAATTCGTAACAGCTACAACTGCCTACACAGAGTACACACAAGACTGAATCAGTAACTCCATTCATAGATGGTGGAGGGGCTCATGAGGTCACCACAGAGTGCAGCTAATGACAGATGAATACTACTAGAGGAGAGGAAATCATTATTGTCACTGAAGCAGGCTCTGCTCCAGTGGAGAGCTTTTCACCCATGCTCTTGATATCTCTGGTTAAACTCAGGACATTACTAATTGAAAACAAAAACAAAACACAGAAAAGAGGGGCAAAGACTTGGTAAAAGAAAATGGGGGTTGGTGGAGACGAATAGACAGTAAGGGAAGATGGGGGGGGATCAGGGTGTCTATGATGAATTCTATACATGTACAGAATCGTCAAAGAATAAAATCTTAAGAATGAAAATAAAATTCTAAAATTCTAAATAAACCTCACTGTATAAAGACCATGAGGTATATAGTAAAATTCCAGCCAAACTCCAATACCTCCCTGAGGCCCCAGTCTATAGGTATCAGAATAAAACCTTGAGCTCTTGAATATAAGATGGGCTCCAACCTGACTAGCTTAGAGGTCTTGGGCAGATCAACAAATCTTTTATGCTGCATGCTTTCCACCTTTATAACTTGGGCATGTACTGCATCATAGGTAAGTCGTTAAAAAAAAAGTTTCTGCTTGCTTCTTGGGTCTGTTTCCTTGGGAAAACCATCTTCCAGCCCTTTAGCCTCAGGTAATGACTACAGGAAATGCAAACCAAAATGACTCTGAGAGTCCATCTTACACCCGTCAGAATGGCTAAGATCAAAAACTCAAGTGAGAACACATACTGGAGAGGATGTAAACCCTCCTCCATTTGCTGGTGGGATTAGAAACTTGTACAACCACTTTGGAAATCAATCTGGCCCTTTCTCAGAAAATTGGGAATAGCACTACCTCAAGACCAAGCTATAGCACTCCTGGGCATATACCCAAAAGATGCCCCACCATTCAACAAGGACATTTTCTCAACCATGTTCATAGCAGCTTCATTTGTAATAGCCAGAATCTGGAAACAACCCAGATGTCCCTCAATGGAGGAATGGATACAGAAACTGTGATACATTTACACAATGGACTACTATTAAAAACACGGAAATCATGAATTTTGTAGCCAAATGGTGGGAACTAGAAAATATCACCTTGAGTGAGGTAACCCAGAAACAGAAAAACACAAATGGTATATACTCACTTATAAACGGATATTTGCTATATAGTATAGGATAACCACACTAAAATTCACAGACCTAAAGAAGCTAAACACTAAGGAAGACCCTCGGGAGGATGCTTAAATTTCATTCAGAATGGCAAACAGGAGTAGTGGAAGAGAGGCAACAGGATGGGAGCCTACTATAGAGGGTCCTCTGAAAGGCTCCACCCAACAGGGCATCAAAGCAGATACCTATAAGAGAACTCCTGGATCTCTCTCTCTCTCTCTTTCTCTCTCTCTCTCTCCCTCTCTCTCTTCTCCCTCTCTCTCTTTCACCTCGTCTCTCTGCAACCCCCTTCCCCTAATAAACCTCCCACGTGGAACGATCTCGTGGTGTGATTTGTGAACCCGCCATGTAACCTTCACAGGCGCACTGTTTCCTAACATTGGTACATTTCCTAACACCAACCAAGGACCATGGATAAAGAAGACCTAAACCCCCTGCTCACATGTAGCTAATAGGCAACTCAGTCTCCATGTGGGTTTCCCGAGTAAGGGGAGCAGGAGCTGCCTCTGTCATGAACTCCATTGCCTGATCTTTGATCACTTGCCCCTGGTGATATGGCCTTACTAGGCCAAAGAGGAAGAGGATCCAGGCAGTCCTGATGAGACTTGATAAGCTATGAGCAGATGGCAATAGTGGAGACCCCCCCCCCTTTCAGTGGACTGGGAGAAGGAGATGGGGGAAGAGGGATGGAGGGTGGGATTGGGGAGGCATTGAAGGAGGGGCCTACAATTGGGATATACAATGAATAAATTCTAAAAAAATTTAAAAATACAAAAGAAAGATTCTGTACAATGTATAGCACATAGAAATGGTCACAATGCCTGTTGTTTATATTGTCTTTTGTCAATGTCAACATTGCTTTCTTAGCATTGTTATGCTAATTTTAAAATACCTTTACTAACTCTTTTGAAAATTTCATACAATGTACCTTGATCAGACCCACTCAACTCTCCTTTCCATCCCAACCCCACATATTATTATGCTAATAATACTAGTAGTTTTGCAGTATCGTCAAAAGCCTGTTTTCCTTTTATTATTATTTTTCTTTAATTTGGTTTGCTAGAGTTTTGTGCTGTGCTATGCTGCTCCGCTGCAGTTTGTGGTGTGGTTTGGTTTTGTAAACGTAGCATTATGTTAAGCCACATTAGGTTAAACTCAAAAGTTCTTCTGCCTCAGGCTCCAGAGTACTGGGGCTTCAGGCACAATCTCCATGACTACTCCTCTTTTCACTTCTGGAACTGAACTAGCCCTACACACCTCTGCTTCTTTCCTAGGGCCCGTCTCACGTTGACGCAGATAATAAACTTTCCTTCTAGTGTCGCCAGGATCACCATCAACTCACCAATTTCCCTCTAACCCCTCTATAGAAAGGAGTCCCTCACAGCCAGAGCAGTTTAATCTATTTAGCTCTTTTAAATGAAAATCTTGGAGCAGTCCAGGGATGTGACTAAGAGGAAGGGGACAATGACAGAGGTGTGACACTGGGCTACTGCCACAGTGGGATCTAAAATTCACAGCCTTTCTGGGGCTCAAACAGATGCTCATCTGTGAAGAGCACGTGCTTCTCTTTCAGACCCAAGTTCAGTTCCCAGCATCCACAGCAGGCAGCTCACAAGGATCTGAAAGCCCAGCTCCAGGGGAATCTGACAGGATTTGCCTCCTTGGGCAACTGCACATACTCATGCAGAAACACACACACCTACGCATAATTAAAAATAATAAAATAAGTCTTTAAATGAAAACCAATCACCTCTGTTCAGCAAGTACACAGTTCTGTCATCTTTATATTCAGCCTCAATAACCCCACCTCCAAACGTAGAGCCGAGTGCCTAATTAAAAGATAGCCTTGAGCTGTCGATAAAATTATGCACAAAGGAAATGTTCAAAACCACAGTAGTGGCTTTGTTGAGAGAGACTGTCATGTAATATTTTTTTCCTAATTCAATTGTGAGGCAAATTATACAAGGAAGTCTATACATCTATACCACCATCGCCTCCCTCCCTGAAACTAAGACCCAATCACCAACTATCAAGACACTACACTGCATTCAAAATTGCTGGCTAAAAAAATGGTGAGGCTTTTCTTTCCTGTCCATTTCATCAAGAGTGGCAGCAATGATCATTTGCTTTTATTTATTCAGGGAAGACAAGTCCTATGTCCCATCCCAAGCTCTTGTCAGTATGATGGATCATCTTTCATCCCCAGCGCTAGCCTGACAGCTCCCACAAACCTCTCCGCCAGTACCGTGGCTTCTCTATCACAACACACTCACCACTGTGGTGATGATTTGTTAATCTGTCTGTCTCCCCCATGAGACAGTATAGTCTAGATGTGTTATCTTTGTATTCTCAGCACTAGGTTTACTGACGTTGTCAACCAGCAAAAAACAGTCAATGTGTGAACAAAAACTTGACTAGACGGATCAATAAATGAAATATCTGGTTTCAGGAAAGCCAAGCCATTCACCAAGTTTCATCCTTCCCCCGTTTTCACACAAGGACTCTGTGACCAAACAGGCTTTGGCCATTTGTCTACCTACCCTCTGCCACTACAGAAACTTCTATTTTAGCTTTAGTCTAGTTTTTTTTTTTTCACTCTTCATCTTGCTGACTTCCGTCAACTACCTGTGGGATACTAGAAGTTATTTCTTGTGACAGGCAACATTAGTGCAATATTTTACCCACAGAACTAGATTCTTTCTGGGCCTCTGTAACAGCTTGTATTTCATTGCCTTTCCTCCTTAGCTTCCAATTGGTTTTGTTCTTACCTTCAAAGCTCCCAGCAAATAAGTAAATCCAGGTGATGGCTGGGATGCAGAGCAGAGTCAAAGAGGCAGCCAGGAATTTCCGTCTCCCTCTGCAGATTCCCAGCATCCTCTCAGAAGTGGCAATCTCTAATTCCAGTGTGGTGTCTCTGTGAAGAGCATGAAGTCCTCAGCATCTCTCATAATATTTTCTGGAAGGAAAAAAAAAAAAAAAGACAAGAGCTAAATCCCATCATGATGAGCCAGCAGATGGAGGCAAATTGCAAAAAAAGAAATATCCCATAGATCTCCAAAATAGATTCTCTGGCCCATGGCTTCTTACTCACCTTTTATCACAAGAGATGACAGATGATGCAATAATCTTGTATCTGTCAAAACTTAGGCATTTAAGTAAATGATGAGGTCTGTAAGGGCTCTCTCTCTGGTACACACACACACACAAACACAACATACACACACACACACACTTGAACATTTAACTAGCATCTACTATAAACAAAGTACTAACCAATTGTGCTATCAAAACTAGGACGTAGGCTGACTTAAAAGAACACAGTGACCAATTAACATGATTCCAAAAATGTGACAAGTGAAATTTATATGGACCACTGATAAAGGAAAGAAGAAAGTGCTAGTTGAACCATGTCTGGTCAACATGGCAGGCAGCTCCTGTGTTCTTCATACAGAAGAACATGAAAGGCGCCTGAGGCAGAATTAAGAGCACAAGAATGGAACCTTACTTAGGTCACAATATAACCTGTTGAAACTGGACTGTGGTCAATTGAGAAGTTAAAATATCTCAATTGGGACTGTCTTCATAGTTCCCCACTGTGATTGATCCAGAAAAGATAGAAACAATGTGATGAGATATAAAATGTGTTGAGAATGGACGAGAATTAACCCAACTTGGACTGGGATAAATGATCCTAAGACCAAGACAAAAATGGCAATGCTGGGTTAAAAGAAGAGAAACAAGGTTGACAGGGATAGAGAGTCCATGATATTTCACTTTAATATATTATAATAATTATATTACATATGTATATATGTATACAAACACACGCATACACAGTGTTTCTCACTTCCTGCTGCCTGCTGATCCTGATGTAGAACTCTCAGCTACCTCTCCAGCACTCTGTCTGGGTGCTGCCATGCTTCTCATCATGACAATAATAGACTAAAACTCTGAACAGTGAGCCAGACCAAATTAAATGCTTTCCATTACAAGAGTTGCTGTGGTCATGGTGTCCCTTCACAGATATAGAACAATGACTAAGAGAGAGTGGTATCAAGGACTGGGGTATTGCAATAGGCCTGACTATGCCTTTGTTTGGAGAAATGTGGCTTCTGGAATTTTGGATTAGGAAAGCAGTTGACTGCTTTAAGGTGGGCTTAATGGGCCATTCTGGTAGAAGCATGGAAGACAGTGGTACTGAGAGCGATTTGAACTGTGGTGGCCTAGCTCAAGAGGTTTCAGAGGGGAAGAATATTAGTAAGAGGCCTAAAAAAATTCTTGTAATATTTTGACTAAGAGTGTGGCTGCTTTATGGTCCTTTTCAAAAAAAAAAAAAAAAAGAAAAGGAGGAGGAGGAGAAGAAGGAAGAGGAGGAAAAAGAAGAAGAAGAGGAGGAGGAAGAAGAGGAAGAAGAAAAAGCAGCCACAGCAGCAGCCTGAGGCTAAATTGGAAAAGTTTTGGATTAGCAGCTTTGGCAGAGATTTCCAGACAGCCTACAATTGACTGTCTTTTGGTTATTAGTTTATGTAAATCTATAATGAAAATGAACAAGCTGAGCAAGGAAAAATGCAAAATGTAGTTTGAGGAAAAAGAGCACCAGGAAAAAGTTTAAAGAAAAGACTGATGCTAAACAGAATAATTGAAGTGGCAACCTTTCAACGTACAAAAAGGCATAAAAGAGAAGCAAAGGGTGGATGTGGTGACCTTTAATCCCAGCACTCAGCAGGCAGAGGCAGGCAGAGCTCTGATTTGGAGGCCAACTTGGTCTACAGAGCAAGTTCCAGAACAGCCAAACTCAGGCTGTTTTAGTCAGGGCAGGAACTCACACAGGTCAGGAACCTGGAGGCAGGAGCTGATGCGGAAGCCGTGGAGCAGTGCTGCTTACCGGACTGCTCCTTATGTTTTGATCAGCTGCTTTCTCATAGAGCCCAGCAGCACCAGCCCGGAGGTGGCCCAGCCCACAATAGGCTGTGCCCTCCCACAACAAATATTAAGAAAATGCTCTACAGGATTACCTACAGTCTAATGTTACGGGAACACTTTCTCAATTGGGATTTTCTCCTGAGATGAGTTTAGCTTGTGTCAGGTTGACTTAAAACTTGCCAGTACAACATCTGTGGACTTAGGCAGCAATGTATGACACCTGCTGAAATAACGAAATGTGCCCTTAGACAAATCGTGCACTTGGTGTAGGACTCCTTAAATATATCTGCTTAAAAAAACAGAAGTCTGCCAACCAGATTTATAATCTAGGAAACAAAATCTGCACTTTTCCTCAAGTAGGCCTCCCAACAATAAAGTGCCCTTCAGACACTCTCCAGTGCAAGGGAGGTCGGCAGCAAAGTTTGGTGTGGTAATTTTCTCTCATCTCTGTCTGAAGGAAAGACCACAGGTGCCTCATACTTCACACTAGGTCTTCAATTACGTGTACATTACAGACCGTAGCATCTCCTTGTGAAGACAGTCCTCAGCCTAATTGCACATACAGAATGCCCAGAATAAATACTGAAACCTGCTTGTTCCTTGCATTGTAAAGGCCATTCAGAGCCATTTCCGATCCTCTCCTTTGTCTTTATCCTGCTGTAAAGTCTAGTCCTTGTCTGGCTATAAAGGAAACTACTGCTTTACTTCAGAACCACCGTGATGTCTCAGATCAACAGCAGTGGTCTCCCCAAAGCTTCCAACTCAGTTTCCCTTTACCTCCTTCCCTTCAACTCTGTGGCTCAACCATATTCATTGTCAACTGAGAATTCCACCCATCTTGTCACTGCCATTTGAAAAGCTAACCTTAAGACATGATATGCGTGTGGCAAGAGCTGCATAACTTTCACAAGTATGGAGATAGGCTCACTCGCCTCTGGGACCTGGAAGCTGCCCTGACAGGGCCATTGGATAGCCTCTGCCCTCAGCACTTTGGTGTGAGAGTCCATGGCAAGTACAAGTGCAGCAGAAAGGAGCCAGGGAGAGGCAATAAAATAAAAAGCACACTGAAGGGAGACCAATGTGAGACACAGAGGATTAAGATTAAAATTGAATGATTCCATTTTAACCACTTCCAGAGTCACATTCTAGGGAAGACACAAAGGTCTTCCCATTCTGATACCTGTGAATCAAGGGGAAGAAGGGGACTAACAATATGTGTTGTGTACTATGTGGTTGTCTCCAGGCTACGTCTAGTTAAGAGGCAAATTACAAAAATGGGAAGAATTTTCTTTTATTTGGAAAAGGGAAGTAGAAAACCCTTTGGAACTCATCATTCTATAATCCATCTACACTCATTGTTTAAAAAGAGATCGCCCTGTGAAAAAACTACACAATAGTACTTACTCTACATCTCACAAGTGACTAAAATTTGGTTTAAAAATATCAAATGAAAAATTCTACAAAAAAATAGCAAGATATATGAGTGATGTGATGAATTCTTATGCAATTCTACCCTACTCCAAAATGTACATTAATGATTCTTGTATCCTGAGTATACAATCAGCATATGCTACTTGCCTGTTAGTCACTTAATAATTGTCTCAGTTATTAAACAAAGAGAAAATGTTAGCAATGAGGAAGCAAAAACTAGTTGGGAAGCTTAGGCGGGAAACCCCAAAGCAATGTTCTCAGGAATGCCCTTGCTGGAGGCCAGCAATGTCAGAAGAAGGCTTCTGGTTCCTTACCTCACTTCTCCAAACTTCTGCCTGGAACATGAACTTATGATGAAAATAAAGAAATTTCATTCCAGTAATTAATCTCTTTTGGTGAACAGATTTGGAATTGGATCTCCATATATTCATGGTGGAAATGGATTATGTCTATTTCCCCATCGCAAGCCATCTATATGATGCTGAATTCTCCAATCTTGACCTGGTAACATTACCATATTACTGAAGGACACTGAGGATATCAAAGCTCTCTTGAGGTCCATTAAAGAAAAGCTATTTCCTCTTGGTCAAGAGAATGGAATCTATCTCTGGCCCTGGGTAGAACCATGACTTTCACATCTGCCCTAAGATTAGCATAATTCACACTGTCTGGTCCCTAGTTAGTCTAGTGAGGGGCTGGAGAAATGGCTAAGCAGTTGTGTACTGCTTTTACAGATGACCCGAGTTCAGTTCCAAGTATCCATATTCAGTGGCAAACAACGAGCCATGACCTCACATCCAGGGGACCCAGCACCTTCTTCTCAATTCCACAGGCACCTGCACTCCCATGCATATGCGCAAACACACTCACATGCACCTACACAAATGTACATGCATGTGCGCACACAGGCCCACACTCAATAATGATAGAAATATCTTTAAAAGGTAATCCAGTTGGGCCTATCAATCATCTGGCCAAGGGATCAGCCCTCAGAAAGACGGCCATGGTAAGGAGATGGACAGAATAATCAAGCCCTTTAAAGAAAATGTGGTTTTGGTTCCCAGAAACCCTGCAGGCACTGAGAGAGCCAAGACCATGAAGCTCTGTTAAATCAGCCTGATTTCTGGGCTATAATTCCGAAAAAACCTCATTTTTCTTTTCTTTGCCTTTGTTGTATCTCTTTCCTAAGCATGTTTTCCCTGGTACTTTGGGCTTTTTCACTCTTTCTATGAAGCTACTCGCCTTTTATCATGCAGCTTCTTGCTGACCTCTACTGCTCAACATGCAGGCCTGACTCAAAAGACATGACTTTGTCTCTTCCTCTTCTCCATAACCTTCATCCTGGACGCTGCTAAAATTTGCAGCTTGCCTGTCATGTTGTTTGCTCTCAAATTCTTAAATGGCCTTCCACCTTCCTACTAAGTCAATTTTTAAATTTTATTATTAAGAAAACAATAATCCAAAGAAGGGGCCCTGATTTCTCTGATAATACAATGATTTTATGCAAACAATCCTTAGGTGAGAAACAAAAAAAAGAAAAAAAAAAAAAAAGAAAAAAAAATGCACCCACACTGCCTGCTTCTGCTGCTTTCCCTTGTCCTT